GAAGTGACCTGCCTATATTTAGCGAACGTTCAGTTTTTAGACTTTGGACTTTCTTTCAAATGGTCGTGAACTTTGTTGCGAATTGCAAGGAAGCTACAGTTTGAAAAAGCCTCAAAGAACGCCGCATAAACCACATAATTCCCGAGCGCCAACACTAAAAATGTAGGGAGTTTGACTGACAACCTAACAGCAATAGAAAAAGAGGGAGCCTCGTTTTCTATTGGCTGATGTTTATCTGGCCTCACTACGTCCAAACTGATAATTTTCATTCTTTCTTTTTTTTAATCATAATTACAAGAATGTATTTTAAACTTTCAATGACAATTTGAAAAAAAATCCTCTACAACCTTTAACGTAATGAATTAATCAATTAGTTAACTCAAAATTAACGCGTTAACATGCACGACCCTAACCAAAATAAATGAGTTTTAAAACAGAATCCCTCTGTCTAGAGCTGCTCAATGATGTAAAAAATCATTATTATCACGATTATTTTGGTCAATATTGAAATCACAATTATTATTATTTTTTAGTTACACGATGCATTTATTCAGCATTTCTCTCTCAAAAAAACACTTTGTTGTGGATAATTTACGCAAAACTTTCAAACTGAAAATAAATTTAGGCTACAAATAGAGCAGTTTTAGACTTGGACTTAAAATTTATCGATCCACAAGGGAAATTATTTGGACAGCTCACACATCACAGAGAACTTTTAACTATATACTACTACTACTACTACTACTACTACTACTACTACTCCGCGTACTTCTCAGTGTGTACATGTACTCGTCAGGTCGTCTGTCAGTCCGTGTGACGGTTCAGTATTTGGCAGAGTGGTCGGCGCCGCTTCCTTCCTCGCTCAGACAAACACTTTTGGAGGTAGCAGCGTGACAGGAGCAGCGCCTGTCGAAACGCGCCTGTCCGTGGAGATTTCCCCCGCCTTCAATCCTCCTCGCTGTGTTATTTATGCTCCTGTGGGTCCCTCTCCCCCAACATCACTCTGTTTAAAGCGACACGACAGGTCAGACTAGTTTACGTTATTACATTTAAAGCTCCGATATCACACGAAACGGACTCTTGTAGATTTAAGTCGTGTTTTAATGTTGTTTTCTTCTCAAAAACAGACCTGGACTTGTGTTTTGTTTCATTCACATGTTTGAGTAACGTTTATTATTAGTCTGTTTACATCCGTGTATCGTTCGTTCATTCATTTTTCAATATAAAATCTAAAAATAAGAAAATGAAAAAAACAACAATTTTCCTCATTATTTGTCTTGAAAACCAAAATGAAAAAATGGATAATGATTTGTTTTTTCAGTTTTTGATTTTGTGTTTAAATAAATAATGGAAAAAAAATGGATAATGACCGTTTACGTGACTTAAACTGTGATGCCCGACTGAACCAGGACTTAACCAGGTCCAGGACTCAGACCAGGACTGAGACCAGGACTGACCGGGAACAGATCAGAACTGAGTCCAGGACCAGACTGTGACCAGGACCAAGATTGGGACTGAGACTGGGACTGAGGCCGGGACCAGACCGGGACGGAGACCGGGACTGAACCAGGACTGAACTAGGATTAAAATAGGACTAAACCTGGACTGATCCCAGGACTGAACTAGGACTGAAGCAGGACTGAAGCAGGTCCGGGACCAGACCAGAACCAGACCGGGACTTAGACAGGAACCAGACTGGGACCAGGACCAGGACTGAGACCGGGACTGAGACTGAGACTGGGACTGAGACCGGGACCAGACAAGGACTGATCCCAGGACTGATTCCAGGACTGAACAAGGACTGAAATAGGACTAAAACTGGACTAAACCAGGACTGAACTAGGACTAAAACAGGACAGAACCAGGACTGAAGCAGGACTGAATCAGGTCCGGGACCAGACCGGGACGTAGATTAGGACTTAGGCTGGAACCAGACCGGGACCAGGACCAGGACTGATCCCTGGACTGAACTAGGACTAAAACAGGACTGAACCAGGACCAAAACAAGACTAAAACAGGACTAAACCAGGACTAAACTAGAACTGAAACAGGACTGAATGTCAGGACAGGCCTGGAGGTGCGCTGCTCCGTGGGCTCGGGGTCCCATCTCTTTCTTTTAAGTCCAAGATTAGTCCAAGATTAGTCCTGTTTTAGTCCTGGTTCAGTCCTGGTTCCATTTTTCATTTAAACACAAAATCGAAAACTGAAAAAATTATCATTATCTGTTTTTTCATTTTGATTTTGGAGACAAATCACGAAGAAAATAGTTGTTTTCTTTTCTTATTTTTGTTTTTATTTTGAAAAACAAATGAACGAACGATACACGGATTATTTCAGTCTGTTTTATGTGAAAAGTTCCGTAGTGGGGCTTTAAGGTGCGTTCATACTTATCCCCATATAACTTCTGGCAGATCTTAGAGGAGTGACCTGATTTGAGGAAAAAGCAGCAGAACAAATGAGCAGAGATTCAGACGCTCGGGGCAGTGCATTTAAAAGAGGAGATTATAAATGTTAATGGAGCTCTGGGAAAAACTCAGAAAAACTCCAACTCAGGAACTTTTAATTCACTTTCATTAAAGAAGCAGAAGAGGAGAATGTTAAAACAGTCCAGATCGGGATTTAAAGATGCGTTACGTAACTTTTCCAGCGAAGGATTTTGTTTAGGTTTTGTTTGCAAGTGTTTGATGGCTTAAAAAGTATCGTGTTTGTGACTAAACAAGGACTAAAACCAGGACTGACCTACAACTAAACCAGGACTTAAACCGGGTCTAAACAAGGACCAAAACCAGGACTAAACTACGCCTAAACCACGACAAAACCAGGTCTAAACCAAAACTTAAACCAGGTCTAAACAAGGACTAAAACCAGGACTAAACCACGACCAAAACCACAACTAAAACCACAACCAAAACCAGGACTAAACCAGGTCTAAACTACGACTAAACACATGTCTAAACCAGGACTTAAACCAGGTCTAAACAAGGACCAAAATCAGGACTAAACTACGACTAAACCAGGTCTAAACCGGAACTTAAACCATTCTAAACAAGGACTAAAACCAGGACAAAACCAGGACTAAACCACGACCAAAACCACGACTAAAACCACGACCAAAACCAGGACTAAACCAGGTCTAAACTATGACTAAACCAGGACTAAACCAGGTCTAAACCAGGACTTAAACAAGGACTAAACCAGATCTAAATCAGGACTTAAACGAGGACTAAAGCAGGACTTAAACCAGGACTAAACCAGGACATAAACCAGGTCTAAACAAGGATTAAAATCAGGACTAAACCACGACCAAAACCATGACTAAAACAAGGTCTAAACCCACAACTAAAACCAGGTGTAAACCAGGACTAAACCAGGACTAAACCAGGTCTAAGTTTGGATCGCGTTTGTGTTCGTGGCGTAATGACAAACCGAGATGACAGAGAAGCCGGTCGCATCTGAAGTGTGTGTTTTCTGTCCAATCAGAACCCTGTTGCCGTGTCAACTGGAAGGAGAATATTTAAATTCCGAAATGTTTAATTCAGAACAGTGAATTCGGAATTAAAACACTTCAACAAATGGATCAGAAAATAGTCTGAACAGTGGTGAAATCCTGCAGCTCGGACCCGGTTTAACCCAGACACACTGAAGGACGGGTCAAATGCGGTCGCCATGGTTACCTACTTTATCTCCCCTCCTCCACCGTTCACCTTGACCCGCCCACGTCCTAATCCCCGGCCAATCGGCTCGCGGGAAAAGGGCAGTACTTCCTGTTTGTGTTTGGTCCTAATCTGTCTGCGTGACCCCCGCGCCCTGGTTTAAATAAACATACGGAGGGACGAGGCTTAAGACTCTGGGATTAAAACAGACGAGAGGAAGAAGAAGAAGGAGTAATCCAGACTCACCTTAGAGACAGAGAGGGTCAAAATGTTCCTAATTGTGTCTTTATATACAGGAAAATGTGCAGTTGTTTTGAATAATACGATTTTTTCCCACTCGAATGAATTATTTACATGGAAATTATACAAAGAAATGTGTGATTTTTTTGTCTCACTGTTGGTTCTGAGTTGGTATTGAGTTAGTCCTGGTTTAGTCCTGGTTTAGTCTTGGTATAGTCCTGGTTTGTCTTGGTTTAGTCCTTGTTAATCATATTTTTGTCTTGCATTACTCATGGTTTAAAAATAGCTTTTGTGTGGTCTGGTTTAGTCCAAGTTTAGTTTAGAGCGCGTTTGGTCTTTATTTAGTTCAGGTTCAGCCGTATTTTATTCCTGGTTTAGTCCGGGTTTAGTCCGGGTTTAGTCCTGGTTTAGTCCTGGTGTAGACCTGGTTTAGTCCTGGTTTAGACCTGGTTTAGGCCTGGTTTAGTCCTGGTTTCGTCCTGGTTCAGCACTGGTGTAGACCTGGTTTAGTCGTGGTTTAGACCTGGTTTTGTCCTGGTGTAGACCTGGTTTAGTTCTGGTGGAGACCTGGTTTAGGCCTGGTTTAGTCCTGGTTTCGTCCTGGTTCCGTCCTGGTTTTGTCCTGGTTTAGACCTGGTTTAGTCCTGGTTTAGTAGTCCTGGTTTTAGACCTGGTTTAGTCCTGGTTTAGACCTGGTTTCGTCCTGGTGTAGACCTGGTTTAGTCCTGGTTTAGACCTGGTTTAGACCTGGTTTAGTCCTGGTTTAGACCTGGTTTAGTCCTGGTTTCGTCCTGGTTTCGTCCTGGTTTCGTCCTGGTTTCAGTCCTGGTTTAGTCCTGGTTTAGTCCTGGTTTAGTCCTGGTTTAGTCCTGGTTTAGACCTGGTTTAGACCTGGTTTAGTCCTGGTTTAGTCCTGGTTTAGTCCTGGTCCAGTCCTGGTTTAGTTTAGTAGAAGAATCTGCATTGTCCAGTGATATTAATGATATTATTATTATGATCATATAAACCTGATTGTTAAATGTTTGTATATATTTATTTTTATTTTATTTTATTTTTCACAAATCTATTAGTTGCGTGTTTCAAACTCACACTTGTTTTTCTCTCCAGGCGCCGCGCTGCTGTCCGTCACTGTCACCAGTAATCGCCACAAAGTCGAGGTCAAAGAAAACTCAGGTACGACTCTATTTCTGTCAAACTCAACTCAGAATAACCAAGTCACTGTTTTATCAAAAAAATAAATACAAATAAATAAATGTAAATAAATAAATAAATGAAAAGGTTTACAGTGTACTAATTACACTTTACCATCAATACTCTTATTCTGTCAGTACTATGTAGTTATTATATTTACAGATACTATTACTACAGTACTACACAACTCACCGAAATGTATACAACTATTACTCCTGCTACTGCTACTACTACTACTTCTACTACTACTACTGCTACTACTACTACTGCTACTGCTACTACTACTACTACTACTACTACTACTACTGCTACTACTACTACTACTACTACTACTACTACTACTACTACTACTACTACTACTACTGCTACTACTACTACTACTACTACTACTACTACTACTACTACTACTACTACTACTACTACTACTACTACTACTACTACTGCTACTACTACTACTACTACTACTACTACTACTACTGCTACTACTACTACTACTACTACTACTACTACTACTACTACTACTACTACTACTACTACTACTACTACTACTACTACTACTACTACTACTACTACTACTACTACTACTACTACTACTACTACTACTACTACTACTACTACTACTACTACTACTACTACTACTACTACTACTACTACTACTACTACTACTACTGCTACTACTACTACTGCTACTACTACTACTACTACTACTACTACTACTACTACTACTACTACTACTGCTACTACTACTACTACTACTACTACTACTACTACTACTACTACTACTACTACTACTACTACTACTACTACTACTACTACTACTACTACTACTGCTACTACTACTACTACTACTACTACTACTACTACTACTACTACTACTACTACTACTACTACTACTACTACTACTACTACTACTACTACTACTACTACTACTACTATTGCTACTTCTATTACTGCTGCTACTTTTACTACTACTGCTACTTCTGCTACTACTACTGTTAGTACTATTTCTACTACTACTTCTACTGCTACTACTTCTACTACTACTGTTACTACTCCTACTACTACTACTGCTACTTCTACTACTACTATTTCTACTACTCTCCACAGATCTGACCTGTAATTTAACCTGGCGACTCTCTCTGCTTTAAGTTGAAGTTTAGGTTCTTCTCTCAGAAAAGTTCCGCAGTGCGTCTTTAAATACTCCCTAAATAAGAACCTGCGCTTTGGTTCGTTTTGACTAAAAATACTTTTTCTTTTCCTCTTTCTGTCAAACTGTCGTCTATAAATATCCCTCGCTCTCTCCGTAAATAGATGTTTGTTTTTCTTTTTTTAAACTCTTTCTTTTTTCTCTCTTTTTTTTGTTTTGTTTTTGTTTTTGTCTGATGGCAGAGGCGGTGCTGTCCTGCCTCTACAAAACGGAGAGAGACCAGAACCCGCGCATCGAGTGGAAGAAGAGAGGGAGGGACGTGTCATTCGTTTACTTTGACGGACAGTTCAGAGGTGAGAAAGTGCTGTCGCCGTGGAGACCTGAGCTGACAGGGCTGATCAGAGAAAGAGAGAGAGAGAGAGGGAAAGGGGGGGGGTAAAAGAGGAGGGGGAGAGAAAGAAGAGAGGAAGGTAAAAACTCAAGGAGGAGGGGGGGGTAAAAAAAAAACCAAGGTGGGGGTAAAAAGAGGAGAGGAAAGAGGGAGGGAGGGGGAGAAAGGGGTAAAAAGTGGAGTAGAGAGAGAGAGATGGGGTAAAAAGAGGAGGGGAGAGAGAGAGGGGGTAAAAAGGAGGGGAGAGAGAGAGAGGGGTAAAAAGAGGAGGGGAGAGAGAGGGGGTAAAAAGAGGAGGAGAAGAGAGGAGAGAGAGAGAGAGGGGAGAGGAGGAAAGAGGAGAGAGAGGAGAGAGAGGGAGAGAGAGAGAGGGGAAAAGAGAGGAGAGAGAGAGAGGGGTAAAAAGAGGAGGGAGAGAGAGAGGGGTAAAAAGAGGAGGAGAGAGAGAGGAGGGTAAAAAGAGGAGGGGAGAGAGAGGGGTAAAAAGAGGTAAAAGAGAAGAGGAGGAAAAAAAAGAGAGAGAGGAGAGAGAGAGGGGGTAAAAGAGAAGGAGAGAGAGAGGTAAAAGAGGGAGGGAGAGAGGAGGGGTAAAAAGAGAGGGGAGAGAGGGGGGTAAAAAGAGGAGGGAGAGAGAGAGAGAGAGAGAGAGAAGGGGTAAAAAGAGGAGGGGGAGAGAGAGGGGGTAAAAAGAGGAAGAGAGAGGAAAAGAGGGGGAGAGAGGAGGAAAAAAGAGAGGGGAGAGAGGAAAAGAGGAGAGAGAGGGAGAGAGAGGAGTAAAAAAAGAGGAGGAGAGAGGTAGAGAGGGAGAGAGGGGTAAAAAGAGAGGAGAGAGAGGGTAAAAGAGAAGGAGAGAGAGAGAGGTGGTAAAAAGAGAGAGGGAGAGAGGGGGTAAAAAGAGGAGGGGAGAGAGAGGGGGTAAAAGAGGAGGAGAGAGAGAGGAGAGAGGTAAAAAGAGAGGGAGAGAGGGGGTAAAAAGAGGAGGATAGAGAGAGGGTAGAGAGGAGGAGAGAGGAGGTAAAAAGAGAGGGGAGAGAGGGGAAAAAGGGAGAGGGAAGAGAGGGGGTAAAAGAGGAGGGAGAGAGAGGAAGAGAGGGGGGGTTAAAAAGAGGAGAGGGGTGAGAGAGGGAGACAGGGGGTAAAAAGATTAGGGGATAAAAAGAGGAGGAGAGTGGGAGATGGAGGAGGTAAATAGAGGAAGAGAATGAGAGAAGGAGGGGGGTAAAAGAGGAGAGGGAGAGAGAGGGAGATGGGGGTAAAAAGGTAAAGGGGGTAAAAAGAGAAGAGGAGAGAGAGAGAGAAAGGGGTAAAAGAGTTGGGGAGAGAGAGGGAGGAAAGGTGTAAAACGAGAAGGTGAGAGAGGGGTAAAAAGAGTAGGATGGAGGGAAAGGGACAAGAGAGGGGGTAAAAGGAGGAGGGGAGGGGGGGTTAAAAAAGAGAGGGGAGGAAAGAGAGAGAGACGGGCCAGAGGGGTAAAAAGAGGAGAGAGAGAGAGGAAGAGGAGGTAAAGAAGGAGGGGGAAGAGAAGATAAGAGAGGCGGAGTAAGGAGGAGGTGAAGAGAGAGAGAGGGTGTAGAGAGGAGAGAAGGAAAGAGACAGAAGGAGAAGGGGAGAGAGAGAGAAAGAGAGAGAGAGCGGAGGAGGAGGAGAGGAGAGACGGAGTAAAGAGGGGGTTAAAGAGAGAGAGAGAGAGAGGAGAGAAGAGAGAAGGCAAAGGGTGTAGAGAAGAGAGAAAGAGAGAGAGAGAGGAGGAGGAGGAGGGAGGTAAAGAGAGGAAGGGAAGGAGAGAAGAGAGAGAAGGAGTTAGGAGAGGAGCAGAGAAGAGAGGAGGCAAAAGGTGAAGAGAGAAGAGAAGGAGAAGAGGGTGGAGACAAAAGAAAAGGAAGATGAGAAGAAGAGAAGAGAGAGCGACAAGGACAGAGAGAGAGAGAGAGAGAGATGGAGGGAATAAAGAAAGGAGAGAGAAAGAGAAAGAGCAGTGTATCTTAACTAAAGTGACACAGAACAATTCCTTGGTTCAGTCGTTCCAAAGGCCGTTTCAAATACTACAGTAAATCCTTCTGTTGTACAATTATTACGTTCGTTGTAGTTTTGACCCTTTGTCCTTGCCCTTTCACTTTCACTTTCACTTTCACACTCTGTTCCTCTGTCCCCGAAAACCCGCTGAAATAATTAAAAACACCGAACTTTAATGAAGTTTTTCTCACCTGGAGCAGTTTGGACAGATGGTCCCCGTGACCCATAAAACTCACAAAAACCACAAAAACCACAAAACCGACTCCTTCAACTTTAAAAGGAGCGTTTTTGAAGAATGAAGTAGAACGAATAGTAGTAGTAGTAACAGTAGTAGTAGTAGTAACAGTAAGTAGTAGTAACAGTAGTAGTAGTAGTAGTAGTAACAGTAGTAGTAGTAGTAGTAGTAGTAGTAGTAGTAGTAGTAGTAGTAACAGTAGTAGTAGTAGTAGTAACAGTAGTAGTAGTAGTAACAGTAGTAGTAGTAGTAGTAAACAGTAGTAGTAGTAGTAGTTAGTAGTAGTAGTAGTAGTAGTAGTAGTAAAGTAGCAGTAGTAGTAGTAGTAGTAGTAGTACAGTAGTAGTAGTAGTAGTAGTAAGTAGTAGTAGTAGTAGTAGTAGTAGTAACAGTAGTAGTAGTAGTAGTAGTAGTATACAGTAGTAACTGTAGTAGTAGTAGTAGTAGTAGTAGTAGTAGTAGTAGTAGTAGTAACAGTAGTAGTAAAGTAGTAGTAACAGTAGCAGTAGTAGTAACAGTAGCAGTAGTAGTAGTAGTAGTAACAGTAGTAGTAGTAGTAGTAGTAGTAGTAGTAGTAGTAGTAGTAGTACAGTAGTAGTAACAGTAGTAGTAGTAGTAGTAGTACAGTAGTAGTAGTAGTAGTAGTACAGTAGTAGTAGTAGTAGTAGTAGCAGTACTAGTAGTAGTAGTAGTAGTAGTGGTAGCAGTAGCAGTAGCAGTAGTAGTAGTAGTAGTAACAGCAGTAGTAACAGTAGTAGTAACAGTAGCAGTAGTAGTAACAGTAGTAGTATCAGTAGTAGTAGTAGTAATAGTAGTAGTAATAGTAGTAGTAGTAGTAGTAGTAGTAGTAGTAGTAGTAGTAGTAACAGTAGTAGTAGTAGTAACAGTAGCAGTAGTAGTAGTAGTAACAGTAGTAGTAGTAGTAGTAACAGTAGTAGTAGTAGTAGTAGTAGTAACAGTAGTAGTAGTAGTAACAGTAGCAGTAGTAGTAGTAGTAACAGTAGTAGTAGTAGTAGTAACAGTAGCGTAGTAACAGTAGCAGTAGTAGTATAGTAGTACAGTAGTAGTAGTAGTAGTAGTACAGTAGTAGTACAGTAGTACAGTAGTAGTAGTAGTAGTAGTAGTCAGTAGTAGTAACAGTAGCAGTAGTAGTAGTAGTAGTAGTAGTATAGTAGTATAGTAACAGTAGTAGTAGTAGTAGTAGTACAGTAGTAGTAGTAGTAGTAGTAGTAGTAGTAGTAGTAGTAGTAGTAGTAACAGTAGTAGTAGTAGTAACAGTAGTAGTAGTAGTAACAGTAGCCACAAAGGTGTATATAAATTGTAGTAATAATAATAGCGGAAATATCAGTGCTAGTAGTAGTAATAGTAGCCACCCACATTGGTAAAGTAGTAGTAGTAGTAGTAGTAGCAGTAGTAGTATTAGTATCAGTATTCCAGTCTTATAATTGATGTCTGTTCCAAAAAGCCAATCGTCTTTAGTTGATTTAGTGCCGATCTTTTGACAGGTGCTTTTAGAGGCCCTGTCCGCTCCGTTTGACAGGTGCTTTTAGAGGCCCTGTCCGCTCTGTTAGCAACGCCGCTAACACGTAAAAGCTACAATTTATTATTTAGCTCCAGCTCAGCGGCGTGAAGGAGAGAGGAGACGAGGAGAGAGGAGACAAATGAAGGATCCTAGCGGGTTCATAGATCATAATAATGTCCAAATGTACTTTATCCTCGGTCATAAATATAGATTTATTTGTCCTTATAAGTGATGGGGAGCTTTGCTGTTAGCATGCTAGTTAATGTTAGCAGTGACAGTGTGGCTTCTGAAAGTTGTGAAAAGCTTTTATAAACTCATCCTGGTGAATAATTAGGACGTTCTGAAAGGAAATCGTAAGAGAGGAAGAACTTTGGACCACTGTGAACTGTTTACAATGAACTAGTTCTGTTTTTCACGATTTTAAGACAGGAAAAATCTGGTACAGAGACTTAAAATGTGTACTAAATCTTAAAGGTTGTATGGAGGATTTTTTTGTTTTGTTTCAAATTGTCAATGAAAGTTTAAAATACCATTACAGAGACACAGCAGCTTTGTAATTATGATGAACAAAAAAATAAAAATAAAGAAAATCAACTGTGGACGTAGTGACGCCAGATAAACATCAGCCAATCGATAAAAAGGCTACCTCATTTTCTATTGGCTGTCAGGTTGTCAATCAAACTTCTTACGTTTCTAGGGTAACTATGCAGCGGTTCTTAGAGGCTTTTTCTAACTGTAGCTTCCTCGCAGTTCGCACAAACTTTGTTGCGACGGCGGACGAGAATCCATGACCAGTTCGCCGCAAAGGAAAGTCAGTTTTTGAGGTCGCTGAAAGAAGAAGAGAAGGGGAAAAGGAGCAAAGACAAACTGAGGTGATTCTTGGAGATTCCTTCCAGCGATGGCGCGACTGAAGCAGACGAAGGGTCTAAAAACTGAGGCATCGGTCTCTAAATCAGTGGTCACCAACCTTTTTCAGACAAAGATCTACATGTTTGGTCTGAGGAAAGAGCAAGATCTACCAACATGAACGTAAATAACAACAAACGTGATCATGTTTATAGTTCCAGACAGCTTTATTTTTGCATTCTTACTAAAAGGAACACTCATTACAGAATGGAGACTAAAACACTCTCTGCAAGAAAAAAAAAAGTGCAACTGCAATACAAACAAAATGCAAACCAAATGCAGTGAAAGCAACCAAAATAGTGCAAATTTGACCACTAAACAGCATTAACAGTATATCGAAGGGTTAATGAGAGAAGTTCCATTATTATCAAATTCAGGGTGATGGCTGAGTCTGAATTTCCTTGGATAATGTTTTGAAGTTTGGTTTATAGTTGCAAACAGCTAAACTGAGACAATCTGTGAGGTGCCTGTCAGTCAGACTGTTTCTGTGCTTGGATTTTATGATTTTTCATTTGTGAAAAAGCCACCTCATGCAGATAAGTTAAACCAAAGTAAGCACTCACTTTCAATGCACATTTAGTATCACAAGTTGTCAAATTAAGCTGGAGATCTACCGGGGACATGGCAAAGATCCAGCTGTTGATCGCGATCTACAGGTTGGTGACCACTGCTCTAAATTATTTCTGGAGGGAGCTGTGGAGGAGGAAGATGGTGTCACACATGCACAACATTTGAAAAAGGACGCTGTATTTCTCTTCCCTTAAAAAATCCTCTATACAACCTTTAAGTAAAAAGTATAATTCGTCTCCTTGCTGCCCCCTGGTGGTTAAAGCGTACATGTCCGTGTGTTTCAGGTCCGTTCGAGGGCAGAGCGACCATAGAGGGCGCCACTGTCACTCTGCATGGAGTCACTCAGGACGACGCCGGAGAATATCGCTGTGAGATCAGCGCTCCTCTGGACTCAGTCAGCCTGGGAGAGACCAACGTCACCCTCAAAGTACTGGGTAAGAACAAGTACTACTGCTAGGGGTGTGCAAAAATATCGGAATATCGATATATCGTATCGTTTAATGTGATGATATAGTATCGATATCGTGGGCTACTGTATCGATATTTCACCAAGAGTATTTTTAGGTGTGTTTTACTAAATTATTTTGTTACAGTTGCTACAGTTTTGTTGCTTGTGGAGTGAAAGGAAACTCATTTATGCAACACATTTGACATTTTCACTGTTTCGAGGATTAAAATGTTTGTGTTTCATATGAACTTTGCACAAGAAGTGGTTTAACAAAGACTTTTAGTATCACAGCCATGATTTATCCTTTATTTTTTATTGAACTGTATCGGATCCATTTGAAATCTATCATATCGAATCGAAAGTGCACTGTATCGAGATATGTATCGTATCGTGGCCTGTGTATCGAGGTATGTATCGTATCGGCAACTTCGGAATGATACCCAGCCCTAACTACTACTACTACTACTAATACTACTGCTACAGCTGCTACTATTACTACTTTAGTAATAGTAAATTAGTACTGTAGGACTTTAGGGAGACTGAAGTTGTGGCAACACATGTTCAGTTTCACGATGAGGTTCCTGGTGTTGTACGCGCTCGTCTTTTCTAACACCTGAAAGAACATCGTGAGGGTGATGCCCCCTGGTGGAGCAGAGAAAAATTACTCTGACTGGCGCAAACAAAGGCCACGTCTCGCCCGCACAGACAGAGACAAGAAACTCATCTCGCACGCTGAGTCGATCCAGTTCCAAGTCTTTTTACTTAAGCCCAATTTTTTCAGGTGAATTACTTTGCGGCGCATATACCTTGACGCAGATCCATAAATCAAAAACGACAGTGATGAGGCAATGGCAGCAGTGTGTGATGAGTCGATGCAGAACTATAATTCCGCCATTGGACACACACCCCCCCAGTCCAGAGCGAGAGAGGAGCTCGGAGGCGGCCACGTCCTGCGCGTGTAGATTTCAGAAAATAGGATCCATCCTATTTTTTGATGCTCTACATGAGCGTAGGTGCGTGTCCCCGTCTAAATACAGACAGAGCATGAATCTTTGGTTGTTGGCAGTTTTGTGTTGGTGAAAGAGCCCAGCTCCAGAAATACTGTTAATTTGTGTTTTAAAATTTACTTTTCAAATCCTGTCGTTTGCCGTGGTGAGTCTGTACAGAAGGTAAATACAAGTCTGTTCTGCTGTTAGTTTCACTGTGGACCTGATACAAGTGACTAAATGTGCCCAGTCAAGTTTGATCGACTTTCCCATTGAGAAACACAGAGCCAGTGCTGCGCGTGTTCTTCCTGCTGCAGCTGCCGGTGGAGGCGTCTTTGAGTTGACGCGCAGCTGTGGTTTCGTGAGGTTACATGCATAAACGCTGATGCCTGCAGTGGAGCCAGGCTCTTATGAGAGATAGACCGATATATTGGTTGGCCGTTATATCGGCCGATATTTATACTTTTTTACATATTGCTATCGGTCTTAAACCTCAGCACAGGCTAATATTTTGTTGTTGTTGATTTGCTGCCTAAAAATACACAAAAACACTTTGATATGAAAAGATGGCTGCACAAAACATGACGCCACCGCTCTCGATCGCTTTGTTTACTCTGCTCCAGAAAGATTATAATTAAAATAGTCCAGGTACTAGAAATACTGTTACAAATAAAACAGTGAAATGCACTTTAAACGTGAACAAACTGTATTTCTATCTCCTTCTTCTCTCAGTCCCTCCTCACACTCCGTCCTGCGAGATCCCCACCTCCGCGGTCACTGGGTCTGTAGTACGACTCCGCTGTCACGACCATCAGAGCATCCCTCCGGCCACGTACTCCTGGTTCAAAGACTCTCAGCCAATCAGCTCTCCCCGCCACAGCAACGACTCGTACGTGCTCAACTCGTACACCGGAGTCCTGGTAAATATAACATGTACTTATTTATTTACATAATAAAGGTCAAATGTACGGTAAACGTTACTGTTTTTATTAGATGTGACATTTCAACTATTTTTAATACATACTGTAGAAAAAGTAGGTCTAGTATTTTACTGGTTTTGGGATGACACCATAGACTGTTTATAGGTGAGTAGGTTGTGGGTTCAATTCCCAGTTTGCACGTTCCCCCTACGTTTCACAGTAGTGTTTTGTCGATACTAAAAATACTGATAATTCTAAAAAGGTTCATTTCTATCCAGTCAATGTGACTTTTTTAGTATCGAAATCTGCGAAAAATGAGGATCTACTTTTGATATTAGTTTTAGTATTGATTAGGATCTGATTTGTACGGAAGCCCTGAGCGGCAAAAAAAAAAAAAAAAAAAGAGGCATGTCATTTGGGCTAGTAGTTTTGTTTTTGTTTTTTTTCTCCAACATCTCAAAAAAAAATGTTTCTTGCCTTTTTTTTCTGCACAAACAGCTACATTTTTATGCATTATTTTTATTTTTTAATCAATCACTAGTAGTATCACTAGTAGTAGTAGTATTAGTTTATACGAATATACTGGGAAAACACACTGGAGTGTTTGATTTTATATATTATTATTATATACATTAATTTTAGCATCGATTAGTATCTGGTTTGTATGGAAGCCTTGAGCGTCAAACAAACAAACAAAAAAGAGAGGCACGTCATTTGGGCTCCATTTTCTAAGTATTTGGGGTTATTTTGTTTTTGTTTTTTTTGCACCAACAGCTCCCCTTCCAAAAAAAATTCTTTACCCCTTTTTTTTCACCAACAACTCAAAAAAATTGTCTCTTGCCTTTTTCTTTCGTTTCATTCTAACAGATAATTTAAAGTAAAAAAACAAATAAATAAATTTAAAAATGTATGTATTAACCTGCTCTACATTATAATAAAGGATTTTAAATGAAAACTTTACATAAATCAAAATGAATACTGCTTTGTATTTTAGAAAGTAAAGAAAAAAACAGGACTAAACCAGGACTAAACTAGAACTAAGCCTTGGTCCTGGTTTAAGCCAAGTTTAGTCCTGATGGTAGACTTGGTTAGGTTCTGAATTCTTAAATCAGGACTAAACCAGAACTAATCCTAGTGTTTTCATGTCACTATTTTGTCTGTAAATAAATTTCTATTCTTAATATCGAAATGGCTCCAAATTCATTCTTATAACTTCTAGATTCACTTAGTCCACTTCTTTATACAGTCTATGAATCACATTTTTATTTTCATTATTGAATCAAAATGTTAAAAGAGAATACATGATTTATGATTCCCATAAATATTACAAATCTCAGAATGTCAGATAAAAGGGAAGGGCATCTGGCTTAAAAATAACATATTCAAAGACTGTTATTGTTCCTGGAATCCAAAAGTTTACACATTTGTCTGAAAAGTTGCTTAAATTTCCATAAATTCAAACCTGGCAACGTTCTCTTTCCTGCGATAAGAATATTATGCAACTCTCAAAATAAAGCTGCTATTGTATTTGCTGTGTTTTTGTAACAAGTTTGAAGATAAGAAATGTTAAAGCTGCAATTTGTAACTTTTCTGGTGGATTTGTTACATGGTGTGACATTAACCTCAGGTCTTTGGAGAGTCCTGGTTCAGTCCGGTTTCAAATTCTGACTTTTGTTTTGCAGGAGTTCAAATCCGTGTCCAAAGAAGACAGCGGGAGGTACAGCTGCCTCGCCTCAAACGGAATCGGAACTCCCAAAATGTGTGAAGCGAAAAACATGACAATAGGTGAGTGGGACTGTGGCAGAGTGGTTAGCCTTTCACAGTTTGTTTCACAGTAGTGTTTTTACAATACTAAAAATACTGATAATATGAAAAAAGGTTCATTTCTGTCCTGTCAATGGGACTTTTTTAGTAACAAAACCTGGGAAAAATGAGGATCTAGCTCTGATGTTAGTTTTTATCAATTAGTATCTGATTGTACAGAAGCCCTGAGTAGCAAACAAACAAACAAGCAAACAAATATTATTAAATATATTTTTGCTCAAACAGCATTTATTTATTTTTTTATCAAACACTTAGTATTACTAGTAGTAGTATTAGTATATAAACTAATATACTGGGAAAACTGATTTTATATAAACTGTCATAATTTATAATAAGTGCCATAATTTGTTTAGCTGTTTGTTTTTTTTTTTTTTTTAACCTGGTTTCCCCCAAAAAAAGTAAAAAACCAAACAAAACAAAACAAAAATTAGAAAATTGAGCTTTTTTTTTGGTTTGTTTTATGTTTCTTGCTCAGGGCTTCCATAAATTTTGATACTTTTGATGACTCTTTTCGATGCTGCTCACAGTAAGAATACATGTTACTGAATGTATTTTTTGCAATAAAAACCCATATTAAATCAAAATAAATACAAGATTTCAAGGCTGCACTATGTAACTTTTTGGTTGGGGGGAGTTCGTCACCTGCTTGTTTCTATGAATATGTCATTGCTCTGCTTAGAATGTTCCACAGTGTGACATTAAACACCTCTACTTTACATTTATTCAATTACAGGTGGTTTTATAGCTCAAAAATACCTAGAAACACAGACATTCTGGCTGTGAGCGGGGTCGCCTCTCCGCAGATCTGACCTGTAACTTGTTCTGGTTTGGTCTCCATGAATATAGAAAGGTTTAATACTGTGAAACATTCCTGGCAAAGCAGTAACAATAATATTCATGGAGAAAAGCATTAACGCAATTGTCCTCCTCCGGGAAAGCTCCACTATGCACCTTTAACGCAAATACTGTGGAACATACATTATTATCGCCACGGAGACCGGCAGATGGCAAACCCAATACCCACCTACACAAATCTCTGCTTTGTTATGAAAAAAAAGTAAATAGAACGTCGTTTTTAATACAGTATTTGCGTATTTCTTATATAAAATGTTCAAATGTACGACCAACTCCGCTAAATGCATTGAGGATTACCGTGAATTCAAATGGACAACTTAATTCTAAAGCTAAACGCATTAAAAGCCCATATTCAAACGCTAATCCTTATATACTCTCTGTACTATGCAGTAGCAGTAGTAGTAGTAGTAGTAGTAGTCGTCGTATAATCTTAATTGCTAAGATAAGAAGGATTACGCTAATACTAACATAGAGTCGCAATATATGGTCCTCTCTTGGTTTTAATGGCGTTTTATCTGCGCTACGAATAATGCAGGGAATTGGAAATGTGTGTATTTTTAAACCAATATGTTCTGTGTCTTGCGTTAAGTCTGAAATAGTCTGAAATCTGTAAACATGAGCTTCTATTGTACAATTTAAAGGGTATTTTAATGTAGTTTTCTCATCACAAACAGACCTGGAGTTGTGTTTTGTTATTAGGTTTAGTATCGATATAGATCTGATTTGTACGGAAGCCCTGAGCGGCAAAAAAAAAAAAAAAAGCCACATTATTTGGGCTAGTAGGTTGTTGTTGTTTTTTTTGTCACCAACAACTCAAAAAAATTGTTTCTTGCCTTATTTTTTTTTTTTTTGCACAAACATTTTTTATCACAAACAGACCTGGAGTTGTGTTTTGTTATTAGGTCTAGTATCGATTAGGATCTGATTTGTACGGAAGCCCTGAGTGGCAAAAAATAAAAAAAAAAAATAGCCACATCATTTGGGCTAGTAGGTTTTTTTGTTTTTTTTTGTCACCAACAGCTAAAAAAATTGTTTCTTGCCTTTTTTTTTTTTTTTTTTGCACAAACATTTTTAATCACAAACACACTTGGAGTTGGGTTTTGTCATGTTTTTTTTTTTTTTTTTTTTATATTTGAATTTTTTTCAACTCCACACACCTTCACTAGAATCTTTTGGATAATTTCAGCTCTGGTATTGATGATCTCTTCAGAACTAAAGGTAAAAGGAGGTGTTCGCTTGAAAAAAATGACCGTTTCATGACATCACAAGTTAGAACAGAGCATTTTGAGCTATGGAGATGTAGACAGACTAATAATAATTACAGGTTTAGGCCTCATGTAGTGCTGGTCCGCGTTGCTATCAGTGTCGCGGCCGTGGGTGTTGTGGTGAGTCCAGTATTAAACGCAGACTTGTTTTAAACTTTCCGGTTGGCGTCCTCGTTTTTCTCGAAGTTGGTCACACGAAATAATACGACATAATAAACCCTTTGAAGTGTGAACGTGACGTCATGTATGAGATCCGAGTGGGAGACGGATGGATAATCGAAAACAACATTAGTCCTGGTTAATAAAATGTTACTCAAACATGTGTGAGTGAAACAAAACATAACTCCAGGTCTGTTTTTGAGGCGGTAACAACATTATAAGCTCACAAGATTAAATTTTGCGCAACACAGACTGTAAAATAAACACAGAATTGCGCATGTCATAACAAGGTTTATTGTTTTAGGAGTAAATGCGGGTTGTGGGTTAGACTCCTGATCTCTCTAAGCGGAGTGTGTCTGTCCTCACATTGTTGTTTGTTGTGTCGTCACGAGACTAAAAATTCAAACTCGATCTTAGTAGGAGATAGACTCAGTACAATCAATATATTCGGTATCACGATGAGAATAAAAACACTCTTTATTTAGACAGTATAATGTCATTTTCAACATTAAATGGTAATACGTTCTTTTTTATTCTCTTGTGGTCTTATATCTGTGTATTCCCTCAGTTGTTGAATGTTCTATGCAAACCCCGGGGTTCCAAAATGTTCGCCCATTCAAGTCAATGGGCCGAGCTCAATGGCGCATGATTCCAGATTCGCCTTTAGCCCGGCGAGGTTCTTCCGGTGGCTGTGGGTCGATTGAGCATGCGCAGTAGTGCTCTTTACCTCCATGGGCACGCGCGAATGCACACGAGCGCAAACAAGGAGCGCGGTCTTGTGTATCACGTGATCACTTTGACCAATCAGAGCGAGAGAAGCTAGAGCAGAGCCCGAGCGAACGATTATAAAAACGTTTTTTAAGACAACTGACGGATTTTGAGCTGAGAAAAACGTTATGATCTAAAAATAGGTAAAAATTGCCACAAAATCTGACATTTTTGAAAGTTGTAAGTTCCTGTCAGACGAACACGAGCAGTTTGTGATTACATTGCGCTCGACGAGAAAAATCCTCTCAGTCCAGGGGATTTTTCCGCTGAAGAACCAGTGAGCGTCACTACGTCAACTGGAGGCAGAGACGAGCAGCAGCACCCTCCAGTTATTTTAATAGATCCGTGGTTTTATGTTCTTGTTTGCAGAGGATGTGAATGTAACAGCTGTAGTAGTAGCAGTACTGGTCATCGGACTCATCGTGGCCATCTGCAGTTGTGGAGGAGTACTACTACATCGCAATGGGTTTTTTAGTCGTAAGTAACTTCTGTTTGTTTGTCTATTGCGAGAATGATCAAGCTTGAACAAAAAAAGCTTGATAATAATAAGAGTAATAATAACAAAACAAAACAATAAATAAATACAAATACAATGGTTTCTTCAAGTCACAATAATTTAAAATCTGATCTAAACCCGGCAACAAACACTCTCCAAGTTTTCCAATAATTGTCAAATTTGTCAAAGTTAAGTCTCATAGATAATGTCGGCTTTTCCATTACATAATGAGTATGGACAACATTCATCTAAACCTCAAGACAGGGACCTTTATCACTAAGCCATCTTCTTGTAATACACTTCTTTCCAGCAGTCGGTAGTGTATTATAAATATATAAATATATTTTTCTGATGTTCTATAAACTGAGCAGGTCTTTTCCCAGTGTACAGTGTCTCAAAATTGTTAGTAAAGTAAAACAGAGAACTTTTTCAATACTGCTAATCTGAGACCAGAATATGTAATGATGGAAGTTACTTTTGTTTTAAATGATAATATTACAAGAAATTAAAATTAATTATTAAAAAAATTTAAATTATTAAAATTCGTCTTGTGTTAGTGGAGACGTACAGGAACCAGGGAATGTTTAGTCCTCAAAGTTTGTGTGTTAAGAGCAGGAAAAAGGATCTGAGGAGGCTGACAAAGGTTAGGTTTAGTCCTGCTTTAGTGCTGAGTTAGACCTGGTTTAGTTCTGGTTTAGACCTAGGTTAGACATGGTTTACTCCTGGACCTGGTGTGGTCCTGGTTTGGTCCTGGGTTAGTGGATCTGCTTTAGTTCTGGTTCAGTCATAATTTAGTCCTGGGATAGACCTGATTTAGTCTTGGACTTGGTGAGTCCAAGTTTACACCTGAGTTAGACCTGGTTTGGTCCTGGTTTGGGCCAGGGTTAGTCGTGGTTTTAGTCTGGGTTTATCCCTCGTTTAGGACTGGTTTAGGCCTGGTTTTGGACTGGTTTAGACCTGGGTTAGACCTGGTTTAGACCTGGTTTAAACCTGGTTTAGTCCTGGAACTGGTGTAGTCCTGGTTTAGTCTTGGATTAATGGATTTGCTTTAGTTTTGGTTCAGTCATAATTTAGTCCTGGGATAGACCTGGTGTAGTCCTGGACCTGGTGAGTCCTAGTTTAGTCCTGTGTTAGACCTGGTTTGGTCCGGGGTTAGTAGGCCTGGTTTAGTTCTAGTTTAGACCTGGGTTAGACCTGGTTTACATTTGTGGATTTGACTTTTATAGATGGTGGAAATGAGCCTAAATAGTCAAAAAATCTTTACAAAACAGTCTTTAAAATGCTCAATTTTTGTGTCTAACCTCACATCTCTCTCTCCTTCCACTTCTGCTCCTGTCTGCTCCTGTCTGCTCCTGTCTGCTCCTGTCTGCTCCTGTCTGCTCCTGTCTGCTCCTGTCGCTCGTAGGACACAGAGGGAGGTAAGTGATTTCTTATTGCATTAACATTGACGTGTGTTTGTGGCTAGACTAATATCTTGGATTAAAACACAAGGGGATTGCACCGAGGCCGACGCTGAAGGGCTGTGGAGTCTTTAATTTAGTCCTGATTTAGTCCTGGTTTAGTCCTGGTTTAGTATTGGTTTAATCCTGGTTTAGTCTTTACTTAGTGCTGGTTTAGCTCTGGTTTAGTCTTAGGTGAGTCCTGGTTTTGTCCTGATTTAGTCCTGTTTTAGTTGTGGTTTAGTTCTAATGTAGTCCTGGTTTAGTCCACCAGGTTCTGTTCTGGTTTAGTCCTGGTTCAGTCCTGATTTAGTCTTGGTTCAGTTCTAATTTGGTAGGTCCATTGGTTCAATCCTGATTTAGTCCTGATTTAGACTTGGTTTAGACCTGGTTTAGCTATGGTGTAGTCCTGGTTTGGTCCCAGTTCAGTCTTGGTTCAATCCTGATTTAGTCCCAGTTTAGTAGACCTATTGGTTTAGTCCTGGTCGAGTCTTGATTTGGTCCCAATTTAATAGTCTATTTGTTTAGTTCTGGTTCATTCCTGATTTAGTCTGGGTTTCATCCTAGTTTAGTTTTCGTTGAGTCTTGATTTAGACCTTGTTTAATCCTGGTTTAGTCCTGGTCTATTTGTGGTTTAGTCCTGGTTCAGTCTTGGTTTAGCTCTGTGTCACTTTTAATTTAGTCCTGGTTTAGTCCTAATTTAGTTTTGGTTCAATCATTAATCAGTCCTGGTTTAGTCCTGGTTTAGTCCTGGTTCAGTCCTGGTGTAGTCTTGGTTCAGTCCTGGTTTAGTCATGGTGTAGTCCTGGTTTAGTCCTGGTGTAGTCCTGGTTTAGTCCTGGTTCAGTCCTGGTTCAGTCCTGGTTCAGTCCTGGTTTAGTCCTGGTTTAGTCCTGGTTTAGTCCTGGTTCAGTCCTGGTTTAGTCCTGGTTTAGTCCTGGTTTAGTCCTGGTTCAGTCCTGGTGTAGTCCTGGTTTAGTCCTGGTGTAGTCCTGGTTTAGTCCTGGTTTTAGTCTGGTTTAGTCCTGGTTCAGTCCTGGTTCAGTCCTGGTGTAGTCCTGGTTTAGTCCTGGTTCAGTCCTGGTTTAGTCCTGGTGTAGTCCTGGTTTAGTCCTGGTTCAGTCCTGGTGTAGTCCTGGTTTAGTCCTGGTTCCTGGTAGTCCTGGTTCAGTCCTGGTTTAGTCCTGGTTTAGTCCTGGTTCAGTCCTGGTTCAGTCCTGGTTCAGTCCTGGTGTAGTCCTGGTTCAGTCCTGGTTCAATCCTGGTGTAGTCCTGGTTCAGTCCTGGTTTAGTCCTGGTTTCCTGGTGTAGTCCTGGTTTAGTCCTGGTTTAGTCCTGGTTTCAGTCCTGGTGTAGTCCTGGTTCAGTCTTGGTTTAGTCCTGATTTAGTCCTGATTTAGTCCTGGTTCAGTCCTGGTTTAGTCCTGGTGTAGTCCTGGTTCAGTCCTGGTTTAGTCATGGTTTAGTCCTGG